CCCTTTTATAAATTTCGATAATGTAATAACTATGTAATATATCACATAATTTTGATAATCTCCGTCTTCTTATTACATTATCGAAATTAACTATAAAAGTTAGATATTCGTACAAAAGGTTGTCCAAATTTCTAGTTTATACTAACTGATCACAGTGTAGTAAACTAGTCTGGTTATCGAATTGGAGTGGTATCATTACCCACTATATATAGTTTTGAGAAAATGTTTTTTGTCTATGGTACTGAGTAACAAGGTTTCAAATCCTATCCAGGAAGCTAGTTCTATTCAGTTTATTTTCGTGATCAATGCTAACCAGCGTGATTTAGTGTTGACTAAGTGGAAGCAGACTAAAACAAATTTTATGTTTTAATACGTGTTTGCAATCATAAAACTTCGTATGGGACTAATATTTAACTTTATTGCTGTATTGTTAGGATATCAATTTAAAAGTTTCCATTATAGATTACTATCAATTAAAGGTAACCAAAAGTTAAGCACTATTTACTGTTAAATTTTTACAACTATCTGTGTTCAGGAATTCCGAAACACTTCTCGGAAATGTCTATAGGGACCCAGATTACTCTTGGGAACATTTTAGCCAGTCATGATTGCACAAAAGCTTCTTCGAAACAAAATTTCCTTCTTAACTCTATATTTAATAAGTTTCTCTGATTCTATAACTTTAGATTATCATATTCACGTTAGATAGCATATATACACATCTTAACCCTTTAGTAAAGCTAATTTTGCAATTCGCACCTTTTCTCTTGTGTTCAGGTTGTAGTGTGGATTTAGTATGGAATTATTAGAAACTGCACGGAAGCCAAATAGAGAGTTCGTTTGGCAGATTTCTCAATATGTGGTTTGATATAAGAAATCTATGAAAGAAGTGTTTCTAATAATCAATTATAGATCGTAATTATTGTCTAGTGTTATTGAAGAATTTGCTCAAAGATTAAATTAAAATATCAGTTAGCTTAAATTACATTATTGTAATGTCCGTTCAAGGAAAAATGTAAAAAAAACATTTAATTTGAAATAGAATGCACTTGCTAAAGGCTCTAGTTCTTCGTAATTGTACAGTAAAAATCATGTTCCCCGTTGTTAGAATTTTTGATATTTTCAAACATACCATATTTAGGAGTTCCTCTTATGCAGTACTGTATGCAATCAAGACGATTAGAGAATGCTGGTGTGTTTCGACAGGTTGAAATAATCTTTTCAATAAATTTGAACAAGTAATACTATTAAAAGTTCTACATACCTTGAAACTTGACCGATTTCACAACTATGTAATTATGGAGCCTTGTTAAATGATATATCAACTTTAAAGTAACATAATTAATAAATGCTAAGATTTTATTAAACAACCAAAGATTTCGAGTTTTGCGGAAAAATTCGTCAAATAAATATGTTAAACGTCGTTTCACTGGTTCTCGTATTCAATTCCTGTTGTGAAATAAATCTAACGTCATTAATGATTCAGTAATTTGTTTGCAACTCTTATTAACCGTAACAAGTAATGAGATCTCAAATAAAATGATTTTTAATTCACACTACAAATTTATCTCATATGAGCTTTAAGGGTTTGAATTGGGACATTGATTCAAAGCTATAATACTTCAGTATGAATACTCTAGACTACAGCACTGACTAACAAGTGATCGCATTTTTAAAGCTTATGGCCATGATGATCGTTTAACCCGAGTAGATTTTATTGACATTCCTTAAGTGATGAACAAAATAATCTTCCAATGAGAATAGATATCACAACTAGGCTGTAGAACTATGAGATTTAGTATAAAAGAAAATACTACTCTCGCTATCTCTACCATTATTATTATTATTATTATTATTATTATTATTATTACTATAGATGTCTTTGCCTAATATTATGGTAACTGACTATCATTACTCACTATAAACTTACGGTCAATATCAGCTGAGTTAAATAATAATATCTTCATACTTCTGATGAGAGTTTCATGAAAATATAGTATATCGACCCAATCCAGACAAATAAATAGATTTACTAAATCTGTGGAGTTCCATTAAAACAAAATCATTGATATTACAATGTATGGAAATGTAAAATAATTAGAATCAAGTTGTTTCAACACTAAAAAAGTGTACATCAACCATATGGTCAAGTTAAGTCATTAATGGTTATTGATAAAGACTTCAATAGTTGAGATCATGAGTCAACAGAAACTATACCACTATGGAAAATCTGGAGGCACTGGACGGCCGTTTCGTACAATTGTGGGACTCCTTAGCAGTGAGCATCCACGACTCTGCCGGCTCAGTAGTCTAATGTTTAGGCGCTCGTGCGCGAGACTGATAGGTCCTGGGTTTGTACCCCGCGAGGCAGGATCGTGGATGCACACTTCTGGGGAGTCTCATACTAGGACAAAACGTCCATCCAGTGCTTCTAGGTTGAAATTACTACAATTTCCACGAAACCCCTTCTGATATTGATAAAGATATCAAACTAGTGATTAGTATTAAAAGTATAGTTCATCTCATAAAGCATTTGTACTACTAAATTTGTAAATAGCTTCAGAAAAAATATTTAAATATTCACCAAGTAAATATCAATGCAAACTTGGAAATAAAACAATAAATTTGCAGAGAATAACCAATTTTGATACAATAATGAACTCTAACATCTTGAGTTATTTATCGTGGTAAATGAAACTAGGTGAGGGTTAGACATTAGAAGTTTAACCATAGTTACATGTTAATGTTAGTATTAGGGTTAGGTATTATGATTAGGAGTACCAGGGTTAGAAGTGTGAAGGTTAAGTGTAAGAGTGTTGAAAGTGTAAAGATCGCATTGCTTTTTTACTAAACAGAATCATCTTTGTTACTTATTGAATCACATCAAGTACTCTCAGATACAATCTGAATCAGGAGTAGGTATTTCTTGTAATTTCGTCACATCATATTCTTGATGTGAATGACGAAATGATATTTCTACCAATCTTAAGTATTTTAAGTACTAGATATAGACAATTTTTAAGTATTTTTTAATACAATACATGAAATCTTTCACTGCTCTTTGAATTTCGCGCCAAATTCTTAAAGTAACCTGATTGATTCATTAAAGATCGTTAGTATAGTATGTTTTTATGTTGGGTATTACGAAATATATGATATTAGTTTGTTGGACATTGTTACAGTGGAATGAAGTGAATAATCATGAGTTATTTTGTACTTTTAAATTTCATCTCTGATTATCGGTTTGCTAAATGTCAACTAACTCATAATAATAATAATAATAATAATAATAATAATAATAATAATAATAATAATAATAATAATAATAATAATGATAATAATAATAATGATAATAATAATAATAATAATAGCTTAGTCTCATATCTTGTATTTCATAAAATATATTTTAATATCTGAAGAAAATTTCATAGACATGTATTTCACAGTTTATGCACGTTTAGCACCTGAAAGTCAATTGTATTGCGTAGAGGGAATTTTTTCTTGACATTTAAAGCAATCTGAACGTGGTTCATCTATTAAGTAGTCTTGCATATGTAGTCTTGATTATGTTTTGGATGGTAGTTAGCAGTCAAACTTAGAACGCATAGTTCATTTGTTTAGGACTCATAAGCTGTACGTAACCGTATTCTGTTGTTTATGTTTCATCTGGAATCAAAATCAGTAATTATCACTTCAAACGCAAGAATAATATAGACTGATATACAAAGTCACAATATATACTAACACGTTCAATCATTATGATTATTACCAAATGTGTGAGCTTGTACTTTTCTTTAAGTGATGTTCATAATTGATTTTGATTGACCTTGATTATAACAATGTGAACTTTATACGTTGATCGATTTGTGTACGTTCAAACTTGTGGACACAAATGGAAATTCTCCATAAAAAGTAATCTGTTCAAGAATATTAGGTGTTAGATGGTTAAAGGTAGTCGATTGCGCACCCCCATCCTACATTTCCAGCTACCCGACACTTGTCAGTAAGGTCTATCTGTAATCCTGAGGGAACTTGAGCTCCCTGGATGATTCTATGCTGTGCTACTCAGTTTCGTAGCTCCAATCACTTGATATCTCAACATAGCTCATGAAATGTCAAGTCACTTAGACTGGTGGTCATATTGCAACTTAATGAATAAAATTCGATGAGCACTAAAAGAAGTAGACGATCAATACACTGGTCACTTCTCAATTATTGAACGGTATCGTGCTTTTCCTAGACATTTGAAATCCTGAAACTCGATTAAATGACAAATCTTTGTTGTTCAATTTGAAGAACTTGAGTAGTAGAGCGAAACAATTTACTTTGATATTCAATGGTTCTCTAAATACTAGCATTCCAATTTGAAACTGATTCCATAGACATGAATCGATCACCTCAAACTCTATAGCTTAACATCTTAGGATAAAACACCACAATGCAGTTACATAATATATAACATTAGACTGTATCTGACTCATTTCATAATGTCGACAGCATTTGTTTTACCTTATGAATATAAAAACCAATAATCTGATATACATGGTTATGAGAAAAATGAAGACATCCTAAACAATATGTTCAAGCAATTTCTTTGTAGTTAAGTCTTCCTTTGTACCGATCTTTGAGATGTACTGTACAAATACATGAACATTTATATTCATAAGAACTCAATGAATTGTTAAAGCCTATAGTATAATATAATATTAATTGATATGCGTCATCTGTCTTTGTACACACATGTTTATTGGGTGTGTTGAGTGAAATAAAAAATTTGGCATACACTACTGGTGAATAAATGTACGTATACACAATCAAATAATGCAAACTATTAAAAATTTACGATTGATTGGGAGACTGACTTGTAAGCCTGTAACATATGTATATATGTGTGTAGGCAGTGTGTCTAAAGTTCCACTGTATATATATGTGATAGGGTCGAGATAGTAACTCTATTGGTCAATGCCATAAATTATGACCTTTTGACGATAATACCCTACGTAACTCTAACAGCATTATCTCATCTAATCTCAAAACTGTTTCTGTACAGTTTTGTATTGACTGAAATCAAGATTACAACACATATCAGTTAATCAATATGCGCTTATTCATCGACATTTATGAAGTCCGAAAATGATTCTAAAGCAATCTATTTTATATGTACTGAAATTTCTGATTTCTAATAGTTGATGAATCCAAGTAAATTGTCCAATGACTCCATATATCCTTCTTGTGTACCAGCAATAATTAGAAAGATAAGTCAGTGTATCCACAAGTAAATATATTAGAAATCAGCAATAAAAAACTGTCTAGACTGAGAGGGTACTGATGACTGGGTTTATGCTCAGTTTGCAATCAAGATTTTATTAACCCATTTGTACCGGAATTTAAATCTCACGCACACACATATATATTAAATACACTACTATTCAAATGAATTTTCCTGTTGATCATTTCTTTATCTTAATAAATGCATTTGTACACTTAATTGTAAGCATACAGTTGGTTTGGCTGAATCCACATGTAACTGAAGAAACAATAATAAATGCACCGAAAGTATATCTCATTCATCCTGGTCCATCTGTTTCAGGGAGTCACTTAATGAAGAATCAATTTCAATCATATAACGGTTCATATTTTGAGAAACCACATAATTATAAATTCAAAAAACACAAAATGAATATTAATACTACTAATAGTCATAATAGTAGATTTTCTAATGGAACTCGAACCAATTCAAAATCGACGCACAAAAAGATTTTTAAAGATCATAACATATCAAAGAACACATTATTCGATGAAAAATTACATGAAAAAATAAACTATTTTATACCAAAGTCACTAAAATTTGAGCCAGAGAAAGATTTGGCCATATTATATCCAGAAAGCAATTGGCTTGACCCATGCAAAGCCAGTAAGTTCATTCATGCCTTTTTTTTAATTATCAATTATCGTCCATCGACTTATGGTTATTATTGAATTAAGGAAAAGCAATACAAGAAAATAAAAGCTTCAGTAAACTTCAACGACTCGTTTTTTCTTTTTCTGTACTATAGGTTCATATTAGATATTTGTTTATTTCATTCTGGTTGATGTTTTTTTAGCAAGATTTCTTTTCGACTGGATGGGTTTGCCGACCCCATACCCAACCTTCCTCCTTTACCCGTGCTTTGAACCGGCAGTAACTCTAAAAGAGCTACAGGCGGAGTTTCATTAGAGAAATTATGTTCACTAATATAATTCAGTTGAATGCTTACAACAAATGCTGTTCATCAGTGATTTGACTGTTGATCTCTAGAACCAGTCATTTCCCTGTACTATTTAAAGTTAATTCATTCATCTAGAACAGTCGTAGTAAGAACACGGTTTATTTGTTGAACTAATCAATGAGTTTATCATAATGTACTCAAAAGTGCTCTAATATACCTAAATGGTATTCCCATTTCAATTTTCATGACTTTCATCAACTTGTTTCCTGAAATTCATTAAAATGATCTATGTCGTAATAATCACATCGTGTCGATATGGTGAGATGATCGTTTAAATTATGCTTATCTGAATTCGCTGGTATGATTGTAAATTTCACTTCAATACCATAAATAATGAGTAACAAGGGTCCTTCTAGATCCTAATAATTGTAAATCAGCTTCTTAACTATGTTTTTAATCAACTAATTTAAAGACAGAAGAAAGCATATTCAAATTATTAATCACGTTTAGATTATGAGTTTTTGGCGTTTAATGGTCAATGTAATGATTTTGAGACCGCGTTGGTCAGTCATTTTGTCGATAACTTAAGTAGTTTCGGATTCTTCGCTTAATTTTAAGTTATTGTGTCTAAAAAATTACTTATCTCTATACTATAAGTCACAATAAATTGGAATTATTCAACTTTATGAAACTGACTTCAGGACAGGGAGACAAAATGTACAAAAGTAAGATTTATTGAAAATTTTTGTATCATTTTCTTAAAATATTATTTACTGAAAATATAGTTTTAGGAAAATTAAAAGTTTCCATTATATGGTACTGTGAATGTTGTATTGAAGTCGGCGGTAATTTTCACTACGATCTGAAGTACAGTGATGGGCAACTGAAAAACAAGTATGATAAGCTAATCGATTTTTCGCTGTTTAGGATTCTGTTGAAATGATCATTTACGATAAGATATACCACAGAAAGTATGTCTTCCGCGTCTTTTGGAGAGCAAGATATTTTCAAGTGATTAGGTTGATATTAATTTGTCGTTTTTCAAGTGTAGTCAAGTCTGGGTATCGGTCGATGTTTTATCGAATTTTACTTGTGAGGTGCTGTCTTAATCTTGACACAGTTCACTTGACAAATTATGACTTCCGACTAAAAGTTTGAGGAATTTTCTTTAAAGTTAGTCACTTGTGAGCATTAAATTTTCATTGATTTAAATACTGTGACTTTGCGATTTCGATTACTTTAAGACCAATTTTAATTAGAAACTAGCAAAACTACCATGAAAATGTTCTAATAACTGTTACTTCTTTACATTAGCTGCATAAAGTTGAGTGATTTTATTTTACACCGACTATTACTACGTAACTAACGAATATTCAACAACTGACCTTGTAATCCATTAAGACTTTTCCTGTACATTGGTTTTTAGAATGTGATTTATTATGCCAGAAGAAAGTTATTCCTTACACATGGTATCTAGAAGTGACATCGAATTATCATTGAAAAACTTCGTTTTTCATGAATTATCATTAGTATATTTACTCTGCTGAAATGACACACTTTTAGTTAAGCAATTTCAAAACACCAAAATGCACCCTAAAATAGTTACGTCCCAACAATATGATTACGTTTTGGACTGTGTAACTAAAATCCAACTGTATCAGTTACAAATTGCCGCACTTATATCATTTTACTAAAGATATTAAAAGACTGGGATATTGTAAAAAAACAAAGAAAAAATATAATTTGATTAATTCCACTAATAAATTAAACATCAGCCCAATATTAAACGGGCGGTGACAATCGTCTAATGTTGATTGCTAATAGTCCTCAAGTAAAGCAAAAAAAATAAAGGAACTAGAATAGGTTGGGAGAGATATTTTCTTAACTATGATTTATGCTTTACAACGGATACACACACATAATGGAATAGACAAAAACTGTCGCATATTTTATACTTTATTTTCTAATGGGTTTTTTTTCTCAAGTTTCTTCCTTCCTAGTCAAATAACTTTTATGGTTTTACTTCCTACTTTTCATTATAAGTAACTAGTTTATTTTAAACTTTTATGCATATCTAACTCTAGAGTTAGTTATTTGTAAAAAAAAGTAAAGAGGATTTTACGTGTAGGGTGGAATTTTTCTCTTTTCGTCTGGATATAAGTTTTGTTACATAATTCACTATTACATAATTGTAGCATACTAGACAAGATTATATATTTTGTTTCTTAAGTTGATTATATCCATACATAACTTTGATAAAATTGGTAATTGAGCATGATAAACGAACTTTTGCTTGATTGTTAAAATGTTTTAACTATATTAAACATTTTTATGATAGTCATAAATAAGTAGAATTAAACCGAATCATATATAGATTGGTACTTATCTAATATGATAGATTTGGAAAACTGGAAAAATCTTTGCTTTCTCATAGTAACTTATAATTTGTTTCTAGCTATGCATGTAAAGTTATTATTTAATAGCCGATAAGTTATTTTGTATACTACTTTGTATAAATCATTGTTAAATTTCTGTCAGTGTATTCTTTTCAGCTGTTACATTCATAGTATTCACCAATGGAAAATGTGTAATATATTCAATATACTTATATTCATATGTCATTTTCGTTATTCCGATTTTATGATTAGTAAGAACTGTGCTACATTTAATAGTCTGAGAAATATTTATTTTTCATTATTTTCCAATGCTGTCTATCCATTATCATTTATCTATAGCTATCAATCCAAATAAAGCACTAGATGCAAGAATTATCTAGAAATTTGAAAATGTCAAGATTTATAATTGTCTCAACAGTTATGAGTTATGGGGTATAATTTCCTTCTTCGTAACATAAAGGTTTATTTAATAATGATAGTGGTGGTTATTCACTCAGTATAATTTCAAGTTATTATCATGAATGATATAAAGGATAGTCGTAGTATCCAGGTGATAAAATTGAAGTAGATAAAGAATGGTTATATAATTTTTTAGAATTTGATCTGTTGTAAATCAGTGGTTGGTGCATAAATAAAGTGCATAAATACAGTCTTAAATTATTGCTTACATCCAATCATATCAGTCTTGTTCCGTTGTAACAAGTGACAAGTAACATTTTTTCCACAATTGTAACAAATAGTCATACCAGGAACAGTATTTTGATAGGCAGCAAGATAAGCCATAGTAATTTTATTAAAAAAAAACCCAACTTGTATTCATTAATATTCTGAGTATCCTTTCACATTATGGTCATTATAAACATCTAAGTTAGTTCATATTCTAGAATATTGTGCTTTTATTTACACATGTTGATATACTATGTTGAGACTGTTGCATCAATACCAATCACACAGAAATCTCTTATATATATATATACCGGTTAATTAGACAATTTCTTGTTTACTAAGGTTAAGGTGTTATTTTGCGAATGGATTTATATAACTTGAAATCTGTTTTCATTAATAGCCCAGTTAGAAGTGATATAGTAATTCATTGACTATTTGTACACTGTGCATCGACTGAGAGGTTACGTGATATTACGTAGGTCATGTTTTTAATCAGATATCTGACCATCGTTTCATACTTCTGTTGAGTCAGGAACTTGACTGAAGCAGTTGTCGAGTGGTCCTTGGTTTTAAGTCGTCTTTTAAATAATTTCATTTTTACATTATTATCAGAATGGGTTTGACCTATGCCGTTGGTGATAATGTTTACTGAATTTGATCAATCTTGGTTGGCAACAGTTTCAGCAATGGGATAATTCAAAGTCATTCTAATAACGATGTAAATAACATACTCGTTGCCCAAGTGAGCGGCTATCTGGATTTCGTAACTCAGTGAATAACGTGTTGGGGTTTGAAGCGAAAGATACTGGGTTGAAGTCCCGGTGTAAACATCAACACTGGGTTGGCGATGCATACATCCAACAAGTCCCAAGTAGGTCCTGAATTCCACTGCTAGCCACGTTCCATCTATTTTATAAAGTTTCTTTTTTAATGAAAATAATCTCTAGAGGTATCTTAATTAAAAAATAGACTTTTACGAGAATTTGAACAAACATTGATGATTGACCTAACACTGTAAACAGACAAGCTTTGAAGTTTTGTTGAGCAAGTTCAAGCACTGAAGATATTAGTACATAGACATAACTAGTTTCAAAATTAGATAAAATTTTCTCTCCAGTTTTGTTCTGAAAATCTCGTCTAAGTGTTTCTATTAAAAGCATTTTTTGCTGTATAATTTCTGAAAGTTAGAATGTACTTCAGAGTTATTTGAGAATAAAAATCGTGACTGAATTTATTGGAGTCGCGGTTTGAAATATTGTATTGGCGAGCTCACGTGAGTATTTTGACTTTAGAATTAAGCCACTTCACTAATATTTAGTTTTCAGCACTAACATGTTAAAATGAAACTGCTGTTTGGTTTCAGACTGCTATTTCCTCCTCATATTTTAATTAATTTTAAGCTTAGATAAATGCAATCACGTCTTTGGTTTCGTGATGACAAACCTCAGTTTCCATGCATCGCAGGTTTCAACACGTTTTTGAAAATAAGGTTAAGTGTAACTGATATATTAAGAAATAGTTAGATAAATAGAATGTTCTCGTTTATTAAGCAATATGGTGTCAGGGTCAAAATCATTAAATAATCCATTATTTACGTCAAAAGATTTGTTGTATAATATATAAGCTCTTGAGGAAAGTGGATT